GCTGCTCGGGCTCCTGCTCTGGGCGCTGCCGCTGCCGGTGCGCGGCCTCCGCCGCAGCGACCGCCACGACGTCCACTGGAACGGCAGCAACCCCAGGTAGCGCCGCCGCCCCCCGCCGTTCCCCCCGCCGCCTTTGTGCGCCCCGGGCCCCGCTGAGCCCCGCGCCCGCGCCACCGGGAGGGTCGGGACGGCGGGCGGTGGGTCCCGGGAGGGGGGGAGCGGGTGGACGCCGAGCTACCGGGCAGCCCCGGTGCTACCGAGAGGGTGAGTAGCTCCGGTGGTACCGAGCCCCGGGTGGTACCGAGCTACCGGGCACTCCCCCGCGGTACCGAGCTGGTGAAAAACTCTGGATGGTCCCGAGCCCCGGGTGTTACCGAGGCACTGGGCACCCCCGGGTGGTACCGAGCCGGTGAGGAACTCCTAGTGGGGCCGAGCTATGGGTGATACCGAGCCAGTGGGTACCTCCTGGTGGTACCGGGACCCCGATGGCACCGAGCCGGTGAGGAACTCCCAGTGTTACGGAGCCCTGGGTGTTACTGAGCCACCGGGCATCCCCGGCTGTTACCGAGCCAGTGGTGCTGACCCCTGGGCAGTACCGAGCTACCGGGCGTTGCCAAGGCACTGGACACCCCCGGGTGGTACCGAGCCGGTGAGAAATTCCTGGTGGTACCGAGTCCTGCGTGTTACTGAGTCAGTGAAGACCCCCGGTGGTCTTCACCGAGCCACCAGACTGAGCCATCGGACGGTGTCGAGCCACTGGGCATCCCCGGTGGTACCATGCCCCAGATGGTACTGAGCCAGTGAGTGTACCTGGGGTGGTACCAGGCTGGTGGGCAGCCCCAGTAGTGCCAAGCCCCGGTGGTACCAGCCTGCACCAAGCCCAGGCACCCCTGGGGGTACCGGGAGCTTTGGGCATCCTCAGGTAGCACCGAGCCCGGGCATGGGGCTGCTGGGCGGCACTGGTGGCCAGCAGGCACCAAACCTAGGGTCACCCTGGGTGGCGTCAAGCTGGGTGGCACTGCTGGGGCTGCGGGTCCCCACGGTGGATGTCTCAGGGGCTCCCTGCAGGCTCTGCCATTGTCAGGGGCTGGGGCCGGCCCCATCCCTCCTCCCGGCCTCCTCCATTTTAGGCATTTCCAAGCCGAGGGAGCAGGGGGGCAGGGTTGGGGTGTTGTGCCAGGCCTGGGGGCTGCCTTCCCCATGGGGGGGTCTCATGCCCTTGGTCCAGTCAGCTGGGCTGGGGTAGGTGGGCATATGCCTCATGGAGCTGGGGGCACGATGCTGCCCCCGGGAGCGGGTACCTGCAGGTGGGAGACGTGGGAACCCACCAGCCATGGTTGCCCCAGGAAGGGGAGGGGGGGCGTGTGCCCCTCCACAGGGTCAGGGCAGGGCCCTGGTCCCTGGTAGCCCTCGGCCGTGCCTGGGCTAGTCCTGGCCAGCGTTGCCCAGTGGGTGCTCTGAGTCAGTGGGGAGCCTGCGCCCAGTCCTGGCCCCCCCAGGCTGGGGGGTGTTGCTGGGGCCCGAGCCTCTCCGGCACCGCAGCGCTGCTGACCCGGTGATTAACGCACCGACCTCTGCCGCGGCTGCCAGGAACCTGTGCCAAGGTGTAAACCCCGGCTGTGCCCACCCCGGGCTGGAGCTGGCCCAGGGGGTTCCTCGCCAGCCTCCCCCCCCGCACGATCGGGCGATCCTGCCAACCTGCTGGCAGCCCCATCCCTTGCCTCGGCACTGCCGGCCTGGCCCTGGCCCTGCCACACCGGTGCATGCCCGGGCCACGGCAGGATCCGGCCGGTTGGGAGACGCGGGCCTGGGGCAGAGGGTGCCGCCCTGGTGGGGCTGGGGGGGGCTCCTGTGCCATCACCTGTCCCGGGTGGGCAGGACCAAGCGTGTGCATACACGTGTGTGCATGTGCACATGCGTGTGCACGTGTGTCTGTTCCACCCTGGCCTGGTGTTTGCACAGGCGTGAGCTCACACCACCCCAGCAGCCGTGCTGGTGCTGGCCTGCCCAGGCTGGGCACCCCCTCCCGTCCCCCCCCGGCCACCGACCCCCTGTGAGCACCGTCCCGGCACAGGAGGCATGGCGTGGGGCAGCCAAGGGGTCAGCACTGAGGCGGGTGCCTGGGGTGGGGGGCTTTGTGCCCCAGCCGGCCTGGCTGGGCTCCCCCCGGTCACAGTGGCCGAGCCCATTCAGCTCCAGTGGCCTGTGGCTAATCCCAGCTGATGCCGGGTTGTGTGGAGTCACCAGATGCCCGGGAGGTGTTTAACCAAAAGCCCAGCCGCCCCCTCTGCTGGGGCGGGGAGCAGCGGGACCTCCCTCCTGGGGACAGCGGGACCCCCCCAGCGCCCGCTCCCCAGCTCACCCTGCCTGGCAGGTTCCTGCGGGACGACTACACCATCCAGGTGGCCATCGATGACTACCTGGACATCTACTGCCCGCACTACGAGGGGGCCGTGCCCGCCGGCCGGGCAGAGACCTTCGCGCTCTTCATAGTGGACTGGGAGGGCTACCGCGGCTGCTACGAGACCCCCGGCGCCGTCAAGCGCTGGGAGTGCAACCGGCCCCAGTCGCCCTTCGGGCCCGTCCGCTTCTCCGAGAAGATCCAACGCTTCACCCCCTTCTCGCTCGGCTTCGAGTTCCAGCCGGGGGAGACCTACTACTACATCTGTGAGTCACACGGGGGGTGGGCACAGCCAGGGTGGGGTCCCGACGGGGTCCAGCTGCCCCCAGGGGTCGGGGTGGAACCGGGTTTGGGGCATGTGAGTGGGTCGGGGTACACCAAGGGTCTGGAGGCAACTCGGGGCAGGTCGGGGTGCACCGGGGCTCTGGGTGCAGCTGGGGCTGGGGTGACCAGGGGGGGTCTGGATGAAACTGGGGTTGGGGTTCATGGGGGAGGGGAAACTGGCTGGACCCAGGGATCTGGGTCTGGATGCAACAGGGATTGAGGTGCACGAAGGGGTCAGGGTGCACCGAGGATCTGGATACAACTGGGGACGGGGGAGGGTGTAAGGGAGGGTCCAGCTACACGCAGGGATCTGGATGAAACTGGGGTCGGGGTATATGGGGGGGAGGATTGGGGTGCACGAGGTGGTCGGGGTGCACCGAGGATCTGGATTCAACTGGGGAG